AAATTAGGCTGCTGGGCTGGGGTGGGGGAGGTTGCCCCGCTCAAGCACTATAACTTGGGAGAGCAGAGCTTGGGGTACGTGTTCGCTGTATCAACAAAGGAGTTTTGAGGCGGGCAAGGGATGACAGCACAGTGGGGGCAGAGAAGGACTCATACCAGTCACAAGACTTGCCCCTGGGGGGCACAGCAATGGAAATCCAGGGTTTGAGAAGACTGCAGGCTGATCAAGTGGGGTGCAGTGAAGCTTTGAGCATGACTCAAAAGAGGATATGGTGATGTGCAACACACCACCCTTGGTAAGTGACACCTGACACTTGTCTGTGCCCTGAGGGTCGTCCCTAGGGTGGTACAAATACAAGTGACCATCCCAAGCACAGTACTTTGGGGGCCCTGCAGAGACAGGTGGAACAGATGGGTCAACTCCTCAGTGCCGCTGCCAGCCTTGCATCTGGACACTCACCAGCTCCTCTCCCCCACTGCTGCGGCACATGGGATGGGCTCTGCATGGGGGGGTGTTGATTTGCCCAAGGCCTTGCACCAGTGGTGTAATGTTGGTCTCTGGGGCCCAGGGAACAAGCCCAGGGTACTTCCAACCTTGCTTCCGCCCTGGACAAGACCTCATCTGCAGCAGCTTCAACAGTGCAGGGTTGGGTGGGGGAGACGCCAGCAGCACAGAGTGGTGGTGCCCCTTTTGCACCTGCCAATAGTGCCCCTTTTGCATCTGTACCAGGGTGGCCGTGCCATCAGTGCACCACTGCCCTGCACCCTGATAAGGTCGGCTGTGGTTGGGTGGGGGATGCATTGTTTAGTTCAAATTTATTGTAAACAGTGCTGGTGGAATTTTAGGGGTGTGAAGGAAGGTACTTGAGGTGCACAAGAGGCACCAATACATTCCTATGCTCTTTTAATCCTCCCTTCCTCCAGTTTTTCAATCCCCTTCCACTGCTAGCTGCAGGCTGATCGATTCCTGTTAGTGTGACAAGAGGCACAAAGAGAAAGGAAGACAGAAAGAAAATGAAGAGGATGACAACACTTCTTTCAGGATTCATTCTCTCAATAACTGAACTATTATGCATAATAATCATAGTTGACTTTCATCCTGCCTGATATAGACTTATAATATAATAACAGGTAATACTAATAATAGGAGGCAGCTATTAATTCCAGTAGTAATATATTAATAAGAGTTTATAGTAATAGTAATATTAATGATGATTTAGTAATGGATTGTAACGGTTCAATTGCTTATCACAGCATTTCAAAGCAGATAGATCTGCTTTATCACCCTTCACACATCACATGCGTTCTGGACCTCCACCATACATATGTAGCCAATGTATGATATAGACTTCTGTTATATATATTTCCGTTATATATAGACTTATAATTACAGTTTGATTCCTTATGATGGGAAAGCAGATACTGAGTGTAAGGCAGATGATTATGCAGCCATCCTCCCTGCCTCTTTCCCCATAGGGTGGTGGTGGTGAAGGAAATGCCCACCTCCTGGTTCCTGAACTTGTCTTACTTCCTGCTCCTGGCCACAAGTACTGCTGACGCTTCCACTTTGTGTAATACTTGAATTGTGGAGGCTTTCTTTGCAGGCTTTGGCCCAAGCATCATCTCGGTTATGGTAAGAGTTGCACAAGTTCTGCAGATCCATTTCATATTATTCTCACCCTCCTCCTGGTTGGTGGCCCTGTTTGCTAATCAGCGTATTATGGAATTGTAATTAGAGGATTGCTGCTGGCCACAAATGTGGAGGGTTGCTTCTTGGGTGCTGGCCAAGGCCTCTGGCAAATTCCCTCCTGGGGTGTGGGTAGTAGGCCGAGGCCTGTGAACCCTTCACCACACTTGCCCACCTCTGCACCTACCTCTGTTACACCCTTATAACTTTCGAATTATTGCTGACAACACAGCAAGCTTTGCTCCTGAGCTATGACCCTATATGATATAACACTTAATATAGTCTTCTTGCCCTCCTGGTTAGCTATGACCTCTGTGTTCTGGTAGTAGGCTCTTCACCCCACTTGCCCTCTGACTTATAATTTAAGTTCCTTATGATGAGAAAGAAGATTCTGAGTGTAAGGCACCCACCCTCCATGCCTCTTGCGAAATGCCCATCTCCTGGTTCCTGAATCTGGTTCCTGAACTTTTATTACTTTCTCCTCCTGGTTACTGGCCACAAGTACTGCTGAAGCATCCCTTTTATGTAATATTTTAATTGTGGAGGTTTTCTTCCCTTGTAACTTAGAATTGTTGCTGGCCACAAAGCAAGCTGTGGTCAGGAGCTATGACCACTGCAGTGGCAGAGGGCTTGGGTTGCAGAGAGTGCCTTCCACTAAAGAAGCTGCAGCTTGAGTTTCTCCTCTGAATTGTGGAGGCCTTCTTCTTGGTTGCTGACCAAGATCTCTTCACCCCACTTGCCCTCTGCCTTACCTCTCTCTGTTCCTTACACCTCTCCATTGTACCCTTCTAACTTTGAAATATGTAAAGCTTCTTGCTGGGTGGTGAAAACCCTGCCTGCTTCGTGCCCTTTGCCTTGGGAGCCATGACCACTTCAGTGGCAGAAGCTGAGGCTTCTTCACATGCTTTGGTGAGAGCATCAGCACTTGCCCTGTGCCTTGCATCTCTCCATTCCTTACTCCTCTCCCCTGCAAACCTTCTTCTTGGTTGCTGGCCAAGACCTCTGTGTTCTGGGTAGTAGGCTCTTCACCCCACTTGCCCTGTGCCTTACACCTCTCTGTTGCACCCTTATAACTTTGGAATCCTTGCTGGGGGAGAGCTTCTTGCTATGTGGAGAAAACCGTACCTGCTTCCTGCCCTTCCCTTTGGGAGCCAGGATCACTGCAGTAGCAGAAGCTGAGGCTTCTTCACAGGCTTTGGGGGGAGCAGCAGCACTTGCCCTGTGCCTTACACCTCTCTGTTCCTTACTCCTCTCCCTTGCAAACCTTCTTCTTGGTTGCTGGCCAACACCACCACATTCTAGGTAGTAGGCTTCTTGCCCCATTGCTTTCTACCTTACACCTCTCCATTGCACAATTATATCTTTGGAGTTGCTGCTGGTCACAAAGGAAGCTGTGCTCATGAGCTATGACCACTGCAGTGGCAGGGGGCTTGGGTCACAGGTGGTGCCTTCCACTAAGGAAGTTTGAGTTTCTCCTCTAAATTGCGGAGGCCTTCTTCTTGGTTGCTTTGCTTGCTCTCTGCCTTACACCTCTCACCTTTCACCTTCCTCCTGGCTAGGTTTGACCACTGCAGTGGCAGAAGCTGAGGCATCTTGTCATGTATCAGCAAATTCAGATTGGGGTACATGTCTTCTGACACTCACCTACCACTCTGTCTCCTTGAGGAAGGTTTCTGTCTCCTTGATTTTCTTCTCTGACTTGCAGAAGGAAGGAAGATTTTAAATAAATAAATAATAGTAAAAATCCTCCCCCCCCCCAATCTGAGGAGGGTACACGGGGGTGGGAAGACAGGAAGGTACATGGGCATGGAGGGAGAGGACATATACTATAGGTGGCATGGGGACCAAAAAAATTAAGAGGGGGCCCCCTTTGTGACCATGGTTGGGGCCCCCCCTTAACCCATCCATATCATATCAAGGGATTACTCAAGGGACCATGGGAGCATATTGTGAATTGGTGTTTAATCCTATTGTATTGCATTTGGTGGCAATGGCTTTAGTGTAAAAAAAGTTTGAGCAGCATTGTTGAGTAAAAAAGAAGTCTATACTGTTTTAGCTTTATTGTGATTTCTCAAGTGAATTGATTGCAATTCAATTTATTATGAAAAAAATAAAGATGAAGAACAAAAAATTCTGATTTGTACTTGCTCCTGCTTCATTTCAGGGCATGGAACTGGGAGGCAGCGGAGGGGTGGGTCGGAGGGAGTGGTTTGCAGCTGGCCGGGGCAGGAGTGAGTACACTTCTGGCCTCTCTATAGGGAGCAGAGTACTTTTTGAAACTATGGCCTTGGCTAACTAGCAGCTCCTTGCGTAGCTGAGACACATCTGATGAGGACATGCCAATACCTAGTATATGAGAAGGAGGTATCAAAAATTTCTTGAATTGGATGAAAATAAGTTCTTTCTGAATACACTTGATTCCGGAGAAGCCTAGAGGTAGCTGAAGAGATTACCCTGGGCTGCCTTGGGAGTGCTGCTCTTTGTTTTCCTCTCACATTCTCCCTGTCTTTTGAGAAGGTTAAGAGGAGAGATATGGCAAGGGAGGACAAAGCAATCCTGAACAAAATCTGATGAGCTCTCTCCAGGGCAGGAGCGGGTTTGCACCCCCAAGGGGTGGGACGGTGGAAGGATGCATCTGCAAACCCAGCTCTGAAAGGTGCTGCATGCAGGATTTTGTAAAGCAAATGTTGCATTGCAAAGAAAGCATTAAAAAAAATCATTTTTGCATCGCACCTCCCTTAACAGTGCAGCCTGCAAAGAAAAAAAGAAGCTGTTTTGGAGCTGCAACAGCAGGTGTGAACCCTAACCCCCCAACCCCCCTCGGTGACCATATCATATGCATTATAATGCATTTTAAAGGCTTACTAAATTGCCTTTAAAGACTTGCTAAAGGTCCTGGGAGGTCCATGCATGGATAAGTTTTGCAGATTGCCTGCTTGCCGCTGGTTGTTTAGTCTTTTTTCTTACAAGACATGCTGGCTGCACTGCACCCTAGCTACCACTTAACAAACATTTGACCTTCCTTCCCTCCAATACTAGTCCACCCTGCAACTCTTTGCAACTCTTTGCAAGAATGCCCTGACTAAACCCCTCCCCCCCGCCCCAAGCACAGCATCCGCACCATGGGTGCGGTCTCCAAAAACCAACCCAACCATCCCCAAGAAAACATGACACATTTATAGAACGGAATAAAACATTTTACTCAAAACGCTGCAGCAACAACAATAACTATATACAACTTCAAAATATAAAAATAAAATAAATACAAAATGTAAAAAAAAAAAAAAAAAAGAAAAGTGGGTTCAGCACTCCACTCTCTTCATTGGGCTGTGGGCTGCTTGCTGTCCCCAGTGAGTTCTGCCCATGAAAGTTTTCTGTGAGGAGGGCGGAAAAGGAAAGAAGAGGAAGAGTAGGGGGTTTTGGTGCACAGTTGAAAAAATGGACTTTCCCCCCCCCCCCCCCCAACACACTTAGAAGGTTGGTGGGACATATTACCTAAATATCATCCAGGATGCTGCACACCCTGGGTGTTGGGTCTGGTAGCCAGCATCCTGCTGCCCTTGGACTTTTGGTTGTGGCTCTGAAATGAAATGTGATGAAGTTCAGAAGGTTTGCGGTATTGAAGGAAGTCATGTAACCACTCATTCCCTCCAAAGTTTCCAACTACTTGCAAAGAAACCTACCATTACGTTGATGCTATGGCTGTTGTCAAGAGCTACGGCCACTGCATTGGCAGCACACGATGCATAGCCTGCTACTTGCCCAGGTGGGGCAGGGGGGCATGGGATATGGGAGCGGCAGTGCTGGGAATGAGGGCTATGCCCTGGTGCCACTTGCCCAGCTGGGGTGGGTAGGGGGGCATGATACAGGTGCGGCTCACTCTGGGTGAAAGGGGGCAAGCAGCAGCAGGGCAGAGCCCCCACTCCCAGTGCTGCTGTGCCTGCATCCCGTGTCCCCCCACCCTGGCTGGGCAAGTGGTCGGCTATGCCCTGCTGCTGCTTGCCCAGCTAGGTCAGGGGGTACAGGATGTGGGTGCAGCAGCACTGGGAGTGGGGACTGTGGGTGTGGCAGCAGTGGGAGTAGGGGCCATGCCCTGCTACTGCTTACCCACTTCTGCCTGGAGTGAGCCTTACCTCATCATGCCTCCCCCCCGGCTGGGCAAAATGCGGCCCACGGGCTGGCTGCGACCTGCCAGGCCATTCTATCGAGCCCACAGCGCCCCTAAAAATTTAGAAAATTAAATTTATCTGCCCCTGGCTACCTGTCATGCAGCCCTTGATGGCTTGCCAAAACTCAGTAAGCGGCCCTCCGCCTGAAATAATTGCCCACCCCTGCACTAAAATATATCAAATATTCTCTTGCTACTTTTAGACAAAGTGGTTGGAAGTGCCTGAAGAGTTGTAGTTACAAAGGGTACAATACATTTTTGGGTGACTTGTTTAAAACTCCATTTCAGGGCTTCAGAAAATGGCTTTGCCTAATGTATCACACCCTTCAATCAAACCACACCTGACAAAATATTAGATTTCTAGTGCAAGATTATCTGTGCAAGATTATAGCCAAAGAAAGCAGCCATACATTTTCAACATAATTTTCACTTTTCCCCTTCATATAAATTTGCTCAAAATATTGTCAACATTTGATAAATACAGCATAACTTTGTACTTGTAGCTCCCCAGAGCAACTCAACCACTTTACCATTCATGGAAAGCAAATGCACACAGAGAAGGGCATTAGCAAAAATGGAACTGAATTATTTTTTCAATTTCAAGTGAAAAATACTCTTGAATTACAGTGTTTTCATAGATTTCATAGACATTAGGGCCTGGAAGGGACCTCATGAGATCATAGGGTCCATCCCCCCTGCCATAGGCGGGAAGTCAGCTGGGATCAAATGATTCCAGCAATAAATAAATCCAGCAGTTTTTTGAAGGAGTCCAGGGTAGGTGCTTGCACCACCTCTGGGGGGAGTTTGTTCCATACCCTGGACACATACATCATAAAGAACTTTTTTCTTATATCCAGTCTAAACTGGCCTTCCTGGAGTTTATGGCCATTACACCTTGTTATCCCTCAGGGAACTCTGGTGAACAGGTGTTCTCCCAGGTCCTGATGTACCCCTCTTATGAAGTTGTAGGCTGCCACCAAGTCCCTCCTGAGACTTCTCTTCTCCAGACTGAAGAGTCCCACATCCCTCAGCCTCTCTTTGTACGGCCTTCCCTTCAGGCCTTGGATCATATGAGTGGCTCTCCTCTGGACTCTCTCAAGCTTCTCTACATCCTTCCTCAATTGGGGGGCCCAATATTGCACGCAGTACTCTAGCTGTGGTCTCACCAGGGCCGAGTAAAGCAGAAGGATGATTTCCCTGGTTTTGCTTGAGATGCATAGGTGGATACATGCCAGAGTTTGGTTAGCTTTGCCCACCACCACATCACATTCGTGGCTCATATTCTTCTTGTGGTCAATCAAGACCCCTTCAAGTCCCTTTCGGTCATGGTGCTAGCAAGCGTAGCACTGCCAAGCCTGTAAGTATGCTGAGGGTTCTTCCTACCAAGGTGCAGCACCTTGCACTTCTCTGCATTGAAGGCCATCTGGTTTTGGTCAACCCACCTTGAGACTGCGTCCAAGTCGGCCTGTATTCCCAGCCTGTCCTGTAGTGTGATGGCCCTCCCCCATAATTTGATATCATCCATGAACTTGGCCAGTTCACATCTGACTCCCAAATCTAGATCATTGATGAAAATGTTAAAGAGTATTCACCTGAATACTAAGTCCTGAGGGACTCCACTGGTAATCCTGCGCCACATTGATTTGCTCCCTTAAACTAGTACTCTTTGGGTCTGACCCCATAGCCAGTTGCCTAGACGTTGGACCGTATGATGATCAAGGCCACAATTCCCCAGCTTAACCATGAGGACATCATAGGGAGCTCAGTCAAAGGCCTTCTTGAAGTCCAGATATATGACATCCACATAATCTCCCTTGTCCAGGGCATATGTTACCTGGTCATAGAAGGAGATGAGGTTGGGCAGGAAAGACCTTGCCAGTAACAAAGATATGTTGGCTGGCATTCAGAAGCTTTCCTTCCATTAGTCTGGCATTGATGGGTCCCTTGACAATTTTCTCCAGGATTTTTTCCAGGGACGGATATCAGACTGATTGGTCTATATGTATTGCAGCAGTTGGCCATCATTGTTCAATTAAAACACTGCACTTCCCTGGTGCTTTGCATTGGGACTGTGTGAAGTGGCTAGTATTCACATTGGATTCAGATTCAGTTGATTCAGGGGACAGTGATTTGATTTGGTGATTCGAATCACTGTCTTGATTCAATTTAGCTGACTCTGATTCTGCTGCCGAATCTCTGAATCTCCGAATCAGCCAGGCCCATCCCCTGCCCTTCTCCCAGCCCTGCCATTGGCTGCCCCACCCACTAAAGGTCCCAGCATTTGTTAAAAAAAAAGCCCCAGCTCAGTGGGTGCTGCTGGGCGGGCGGCAATCCCCGCTTCCCCGCACTGTCCCACGCTGCATGGGAGGCTCTACATGAGCCCCCAACCCCCCCTCCACTCTCCCAGCCCCAACATGGGTGCCCTGCCAGGGTCAGCTCCAGTCCTTTAAGAAAAAAAAAACTGAAACCCCCCCTGGACTTACCGCTCCTGCCAGCAGGGGCCAATCCCCACTGCCCCACACCACATGGGGGGCTCTGCATGAGCCCCTGAAGCCCCAAGGCTGCTGCAGGAGCAGTGAGTCCTGGGCCTTTCTTGGCTTTTTTTTCTTAAAGGGCTGGAGCTGGCCTGGGGGGGGGCACCCATGGCGGGGCTGGGGGATTGGGGGGGGTCACAGATCTTGTGCAGAGCCCCCCATGCAGTGCGGAGCAGTGGGGGGCAGCAGGGATCGCCCCCAGCAGCACCCAGTGAGCTGGGGCTTTTTTTTAATGTACTGGGAGCTGGAACTGGCAGGGGTAGCCATGCAGGGGTGAGCGAGTGGTCGGAGGGGCTGGCAGGGGTCCCACCATGGTCCCCTCCCCCGCCCCAGTACTTACCAGCTCAGAGTTGGTTGCAGCTCCCTGCTGCAGCCACTGAGGACTGCCCAGATCATCAAAGCTCTCCAAATCTTTTCCAAAGATTCAGAGAGCTTTGAATCAATTTGGACCTTTAAATTGGTCCCCTGATTTGATTCGGATTCAGAGATTCAGCCACCAAATCGGGCCGAATCTCCTCCGAATCGAATCACCACCCAAAGCTTTGCACAACCCTACTTTTCATATATTTATTCCAGATCATTAATAATACATCAATTATATTTTCTTCATTCCATTATTACCCTTTTGTCATTCCCTGACACTTTCTTTGACATTGTGTACTCTGACTAGGTGGCCATTTAACTAACCTGTGGTGAAAGATTAGCTAATCAAGGAATGAAAACTCCAGCTTCTGCTCCAAACTATGATCATCTGCTTCTGTTTTTGGCAGGTGACAGGGGCACCAGAATGATTAAATGCCAAGCTTGTGACAAAGACGAACAAGAAAGGGAAATGGAAAACATCCTATCTTTTGACCATGATTCTAACTGATGTGAGAAATATTCTGAATTGAAGTGTTTACATCAGAATCAGAAGAGAGATCTTTTCATGAGCAACTGACATTGATGAATCAATGTGGCAGTGCCTGCCACTTTAAGAGCTGAGAGCAGCTGGTAGGTGCAGGCCAGCCCTGATAAGGTGGCCATTTTAAGGCTAGGCCACAGGGCAGAGGCAGCAGTCTGCTGCCTGCACCCAAGAGACCAACACCTGGCTGAGCTGCTGCTCAGAACATCTTGGAGTTAAGGGCAGGAGCTATGGGGATGGCAGGAGGTTCCTGGTCCTGGGTATGACTGAAAACTGCACCCTGCCGGGGATGGGTGGCCTGGTGGGGCTGTTCGTGGTGGAATAGTCCCCCAGAAATGCCAGGCCAGTTATCGCCCCAATAAAAGGCGGGTAAGGGTGCCTTGTAACCCAGGCCCCCATGCCTCTGTGAGTAATTATGAGGTTAGGGGGGCCAGGCCCACCTATAGTGGCACCTGAGCCCCATGAGGCAGGAGTGTTTGACCCCAGAGATGGGGGTGAGTGTTGAGGCCCCAGAGAGATGGGGGTGAATGTCAAGCAAGGTAGCTCAGAGGAAGTCATGAGTAGAAGGGGCAAGTAATTGGCCCTAATTAGGCAATCTGTGAGTTGAGTTACCCAATGAGGGGCCAGGAGCCAAGTCAACCCACTGTTTGGTGAATTGCCCAGACACCGTGCAGATGAGGGTCATGGTAGAGGCCCAAAAGGCTGCAGGGCCAGCTAAGGAGTGAAGAGACAAACCTGATGGCCCACATGGTTGCTTAAGGCAGCAGGGTGACGTGAATGAGGCCTGGTAAAGGGCAAGAGTAGGAGAAGCCTGGTGAGAGCAGAAGGAGTGGTAGAGGCCCCAGTGAGAGGGGGGCTGTATGTGTGAGGCCTGGAACAGCGCAGTGCGAGAGAGGCCTAACAGTGTGCTGAGTTGGGCCCAGCCTCAAGTCAGAGCATAGCACAACTTCCTTATCTGTGCTGGATGTCATCTGCATGGCATGGGCCATGGTTGTAGGGGAAGTACAAAGCTGTAGATAGTGCCCCCTTACATTGAAGAAGTGAATGGGAAGCCTCCCGCTTATAATATCTAATGTTACATCAAGTTGTGGCAGGTGAGATGGGGCAGACTGCCCTAGACAGGTGGGTGGGCTAATATGAGACCTGGCCCTGGGGTGGCCCCCTGTCACAATCAACATACTGCTATTTTCCATGTCAGGTGAATAAGTACAATATGAGATTTTTTTAAAAAGCTATTGATTCAGTTGGTTGAAATTGCTAAGAGTTTAATTTGAAATAAAACCTGAAAACTTTTAAAGTCAGCTCTGCAAAATAATTTCACCCCTTCATTTCTCTACCTCCTATATTGGTGCCTCACTCCCATTGATTTCCACCTTCTCCAAACACTTGTTCAAAGTGATTGTCTTTCTTAGACCAAAAAACAACCTGTGACCAATTTGTCCTCATTTGCATTAACAACAACACCTAAATCCATAGAGAAAAACCATTACTAATTTTACATTAGAAGGTCCATAAGTCAGGTGGGGGAAATACAGAGGGGAAATACAGCTGACTTGCAGAATTCTTCCTTATTAAAACAAGCATCCAGTACATAGCAGATGAAGACTTCTAAAAGATCTGAATATACCCATACACAACAAGAAATTAATAAATTGAGATGAGTCAAGATGGAACTATGAATTCTTTACCTGCAATGGAAAGAGGCAAACTGAGAGTTGAATCCATGGCTGTTGCTTTTACCTGGTTTCTTTTCTGTCCTTTAAAGATAACTTGTATACACCATGCTATCATTCCACCTATGAGATTCATTCTGATACATTTTTCCCCTGGAAATCACATATCCCATGAGTTTACCATCACTGCTAGGTCACCTTGGATTTTTTCCACACTGTTTGCAAAAACTGGAGATAGTGTTAATCTTTTTTTTTTTAAATTGAGATAGCCTGTGTTTTCTGTCACCAGCTGGAGTTAAGTCTTTCATATGCAGTAGAATATAGTGCCAGGTTCTTTTTTACAAGGAAAAGACCTCCTTCTTCTGATCCCTTTTTCTGTGTCTAGTTTTAAAGTCTTTCTGACAAGTCTTGCTATTGCAATAGCTTTACATTATTACCAAATGACATATATATCATAATACTCTAATATTCAAGATCCTTGGTTTTTTTCCCCTCTTGCTTGTGGTCTCCATTATTATTATTATTATTATTATTAATTTTGCATTACAATAAAGTCTTGGTGGAGATAGCCCTATTAGGTGCTACACATACACATGATAAGATACAGATGCAGTGAAAGCTAGCGCTTCAGCTCTTCACTAGGCTAGAGAATAAGCACAATGAGAGTTAGGATCAAAGGATCATAGGAAACTAGGGCTGGAAGGGACCTCACAAGGTCATTTGGTCTATCTCATGTTAAAGGCAGGATTATCACTGACTAAACCAACCCAGTCAAGTGTTTGTCAAGCCTGCTCTTGAAAACTTCCAAGAATGGAGATTCCACAGTTCTCTAGGTAGGCTGTTCTAATGCTGGACCACAATCATAGAAAGTCCCTCCTGATCTCTGACCTACATTTCTCTTGCCAAAGCTTGAGGCCATCCCTTCCAGTCCTGTCCCTTATGACCACAGCTCTTTCAGCCTTTTCTTATACATATTGTTTCCCAGGCATCTGAACATTTTTGTTGCTCTGAGCTGAACTCTTTCCAAACTGTCCACATACTTCTTGAAGCTTATCTCCATCCTCTCTATAATTGCCCTTCAGGTATTTGAAGACTATCAAATCTCCCCTCAGTCTTCTCTTCTTCAGACTAAATAACCTTAGATCTCTCAGCCTTTCCTCATAAATCTTATGTCTCAGGATCCTAATAATTTTTTATTGTTCTGCAGTGGGCTTTTTCTAATCTGTCCACATCTTTCTGGAAGTGTGGGGCTCAAAACTGGACAAAATAGTGTTAGTGGCATTTTTATATTCTCCTGCCATTTGAAATAAAGTATATGTCCCTCCTTGATTTTTCTTAAGTGCCTAATGATGGGTGACCATTGTGAATTCCAAGTGGATATGACTACTTCCCTACAGCCTAGAGTAAGGTGCCTAATAGGGCTGTGCAAAATTTCAGCAGCAATTTCATTTCAGAGGTGTTTTGCATTGTTTCAGTGCATGAAATGCTGACTCTGAATTGAAATGGAAGGCTCTGAAACATCTCTGAAACAGAACGAGGCATCCAAAATGTTTCAGAAATGTTTTGGAAAATTTTGGTGTTTTGGAGCCAGGCTTGCAGGGAATCATCTGTATGCTGCTGCCCTGCCGTGTGCCTTGGCTTCACAGGGAGCAGAGATCTGTGCTGGTGGTCTCCTCACCACTGCTGCCTGCCCCACACTGTCCTGAAGACACGGGGCTGCACGGGATGGGCAGCGGTGGTGAGGAGACCCCAGCATGGATCTCTGCTCGCTGTGGAGCCAGGTCATGTGGCAGGGTAGTGCTGGTCCCTGTCACACAACTTGACTCTGCAACGAGCAGAGATCTTGGGCAGGCAGTGGCACTGAGCAGACACCTGGCTCGGATCTCTGCTCCCTGCAGAGCCATGTCACTCAGCAGGTTAGTGCTGCTCCCTGCCACATGACTCAGCTCCACAGGGAGCTAAGATCAGCGCTGGGGTCTCCTCGTGGCTGCTGCCTGCCCCGCACACCCCTACATCGCTGGGGCAGCACAGGGCCAGCAGTGGTGGCTAGGAGACCTCCAGCACAGATCTCTGCTCCTTGCGGAAGCAAGTCACATGGCAAGGACCAGCAAGCTTGCTCACTGCTCTGCGCTGCTTTCCTGCCCCATGACACGGCGTGACAGGGATCAAAAATCTGTGCAGGGGTCTCCTTGCCTGCATGGAGGGCAGTGGCCCTCCCCCTCCCCCAGACGAGCCATCCATGGCCCCATTCTGCTCCCCACTTGGGCCCTGCAGCCTGGTTGGGCAGTAAAGCTGTGTGAAGCTTGCAGCCCGTTCAAAATAGATTTGGAGGAGATTCAGCGGAGCAGTGGAACAGGACAGTGATCTGAAACACTGAAACGAATCACTGTCCTCCGAAACAGCTGAATCTGAAACCGAATCGAAACACAGCCATTTTGCACAGCCCTAGTGCCTAAGACCCAGAAAGGATAAGGTTTAACAAGCCCACCTTCTCTCAGAATTTCTTCTTGATGAGCCCAGTTAGCTCCTTGCTCAACACGTTGGCTTCTGTAGGCATGTCTACATGTGAAATTAATGAGAGGCAATAAACTCCAGCACAATATATACCAGATTTTATTGCTCTTGGGCACCGTGTTTGTGTGTGCCCAGAACTGCGGCATATTGAGCTTGGTTGGAGCAGCCCCAGCTGGCAGGGAGCCTGGGGGATCAGCTTGCCAGCCCAGAGCTGCTCTGACCCAGCTCAACATGCTGCAGAGGGGCTGGCTGAGGCATGAGGGCACTCCAGTGAGGGGCTAGCCTGCAGGCAGCTCCCACACTGAAGCACCCTCATCCCTCATGTAGCCAGCTCTGTCAGCATCTACATCAGGGGTGGGCAAAATGCGGCCCATGGGCCAGATGTGGCCCACCAGGCCATTCTATCTGGCCTGCAGGGACCTTAAAAATTTTAGAAAGTTAATATTTATCTGCCCCTGGCTGCCTGTCATGCAGCCCTCGATGCCTTGCCAAAACTCAGTAAGCGGCCCTGCACCCGAAATAATTGCCCGCCCCTGATCTACATGTATATTGCTATGCACTAAATAATGCTGCTGCTGGATAGTACTTGTATTTACCAGTACTAACCTACAGTGGAGTTAATTAGTTTACTGCGACCTAATACGGCCACACATATAGAGGCTGAGACTTTACTGTGGAGCTAATTAGGCAACTCCACAGTAAATGTCTTTTGTAGATGCACCCTGTGGCTCTCATCTTGGGCACCTAACATCTCCCATGCCTTGTTCAGGCAGCCTGGGCCCTCACTTAGATCCTATGACTTCTAAAAGGTGGAGTGGCACCTTGCAGTTGCAGGCTGTGACTCTTAGCACTGCAACACTTAAATCACCTGATGAAATCCTGTCTTACTTTATCCCAACTGCATAATTGGTCCAATAAAATATTTCATCTTAAGCAATCCTTGCCTCTTGCATAATTTCTGAACTGTCATGGCTACAACATCACTCTTAAATCACCTGTGTGAGACTGAGCCAAAATGACTTGCTTTACAGACAAAGAAGTGGTCAGCCGGCAATAGCACTCCCCTGCTCTAGCCACCAGCTCACACAGCCTCTTGATAATCAATTGGTTCCATGTAGGCATGTGCACTTAAAGCAGCTCAAATAGAAGCAGTGCAAATTTGAGCCATGGCTTTTTGCCTCAGCACATGTGCCCAGACATGCACTTTGTTGTGGTGCAAGTTGTGCCACTTGGGGCAAAATACCCCTGCCTGGCTCCTCCCAGACCTGCAGCCAGAGGGAGCTAGAGCTTGGGGCCAGCACCGTAAAAAGCTGCCCTGTCCTGGCTGGTCAATACAAAAAGCTGCCCTGGCAAGTAGTTCAGGGCTACTTACTCTCAGGAGCTTCTGGGAGAAAGTTGGCTATGTCCCTTCCTGTCCCAGGCTGCTACTGGTTGCTGCAAGCTTGGTCTCAGGAGCTTCTGGGAGAAGATGGCCAAGACCCTTTCTGCGTGGCTACTGCTAGCTGCTGGCTTCATTTCAGAGCTTTTGGGAGTAAGTTAGCTGCACCCCTTCGTTCCTTGGGCTGCTGCTGCCCACCCCCCCCCACAGAGGGGATCCTCTGCTGCATGTTGCTGCTCTCCCTCAGGGAGGGGCCTACTGCATTGCACCCCACCCCAGGTTCTGCACCCCTGTTTCCAGCCTGTTGCCCAGCCTGCCACCAAGCTGCGGTTGGAGGATAGCCTGGGGAGGGAGCCTGCACTGCCTGTGGGCTTCCCCCCACCATCATTGCCACAGCCTAAAGGTGCCTTGCCTGCCTCAGCTGCCTTGGCAGGCCAACCCCCACCTTCACCTCCACTGTCACCAGAAGAACACACTGAGTGGCTAAACTGGATCCTCCTACCATCACTGCTGCTGTCTGTTCCACTGCTGCCCACTCTCGGGGAGAGGGAGAATCCCTGTTGCACCACCTTGCACCACTCAATACCACGCCTGCACTGGACTACTTCCTAATTGACTGATTGCTCATGCCCTCCCTCACAACTGCCTCACTACATCTGATCCTGCTTTGTTTGACTACCTGCTGCTGAATGACTAGCTGGAGACCTGAGGGGCTCCTAAACTGTTTTCCAACAAACGAAGTCCCTCCACTGCTTCAGCCATCTTTATACCTGCTTCAGCAGCCTTCCCTGTGTGTTTTCTCTTGTGTGGTAAGTCCCCCTGCCCTGGTGTTTATTGTGTGGCTGAGTAAGGCAGCTAGAGTCTCCTCAGCCCTTGTGTGTGTATGTGTTTTCCCCCTCCCCCACATTTCCCCAAGCATAACCCTCCCAGCTTTTTTCCTGTGGGGATGTAGCTCAGTGAGTTTCAGCCCCTTTTCCTTCCCCCATATCTCTCCCACAACCCCAGCCTGCCCCTTTTAGATTCACCAACCCCACTGTATTTTGGTGGTTTCTTTTTTGGTTTCTTCTCCCTGATGTGAAGCAGTGGCTGGGAAGGAACCTTCTGGGGGGGAAGATTCCTCCACAGAACTTCTTGCAGCCCCCACTATGAGGGCAGATCCCAACCAAGCCCCCAAGGGGATGCATGCCCCTGCAGCCCCACCCTGGAGGCAGAGTCCAAACAACCTCCTCCAGGGGTAGAGAAGCCTGAGATCT